CCTGCAGGCCAGGGGGCGCAGTGCAGCTGCTGGGCGAGGGGTGGGACGGAGCCGCCTCAGCTCCAGCTCTGCCATAGGCAAAGGGCGACTGAGCCCCAGGCATGCGTGTCAATGTGCAGCTGTTATGAAACTGGCCTCAGCCTGACCCCGCTACCATGGGGGGGGCATTCCCTGGGAGCCAGCCAGCAGCCCCCTCTCCCCGCTCACACCAGGCAGGCATTGGCCCCAGGGCCCCTCCTGTCTTGTGGCAGGGGGGTCTCCCGGGGGGGGGCCCGCTCGGCCGCTGGGCTGGCAGGGTCCTTGGCACAGGGGACCGCAGCCCCGCGGGCAAGTCTGGTCTCAGCTCTCTCCCCACCCCACGCAGGCCTGGAGGTGCAGGGCCTCAGCTCAGCGGGGAACCCGTCAGCGTGGGGCAGGGCCCACAGGCCGAGGGGAACGAGACAGCTCCCTGGCCAGCTGGACTGAGCTGCAGGAACCCGCACCCCAGGTATGTGGGGCACCCAGGCCAGCAAGATGGGGCCCGAGCTTCTCCCCAGCCCTGGGAAAGGGCCAGGCTCTCCCCCCCGCCGGCTTGTCACGGCCTGCAGGACCCAGAGTCCTTGGCAAGGGGAGGCAGGCTCAGGAGGCAGAGGGACTCCAGCGGGGGAAGACGTCTGAAATTGCCTGCCGATCGAGCACGGTCCAAAGCCCACGGCAGGACGAGTCATGTGCCCGCACTTCCCCAGCTGGCTGACAGGCCCCCAGGCATCCTGTCCCATGCAGTGGGCAGGGACCAAGCCGGGCCCCGACTAACAGCTGCTTGCTACAGGGCTTCCCCCAGGTGCCTCCGGAGCCCACCACTGCAGGGACCCGCTTCATGCCCTAGCACGGCCCCCCACGCCTCTGCCCTGCCCTCCCAGCGCCCCGGCTGCCTGGCTCCAGGCCCCCCAGCTCCCCGGAGATCACGCGCTGGCTGGGCAGAGGGGGGTGCCAGGGGCTGCAGAGCTCTGAAGGCCGGGGAGTGTTCAGAGCCAGCCCCCGGCCCAGCCGCCCTCGTGGTGGGGCATGGCCGTGGCGCC